ACCTGCGTCAAAGAGTATGTCGCCGACGTCGTCTTCGTCTGGCAGGCGTGTGTATGCGGCGGCTTCATTGGTGTCGGAGATTCGCGCGTTACCTCCGACTGTGCCGCGCGGCGCACTGCTGCAGCCCAGCCACCAGAAGCCGGTTGAGCGCGGGAACGCCGGCTTATCTGTGTCCACCTGTATTGAAAACAAATAAAGATATTGAAACATTCAAAATATTTATTGTAGTTAGATTCATCGTTATTCTAATCAACTTTTAAGGAAATTCCTAAGAATTTATTTTTTATTTGGATCAATTGGTATTGTAGCATGTATATTAGGTACAAATACTGTATTGGCAACGATAATAAAGCAATGTGTTTAATTTTTATTATCAACATCGTAATTAAACTTATCATATCAACTTATTCAAACTTTATGTGATCTGGACATAATCTATTTTGCCTCCAAAAATGTCCAATGTCCGTTTCAATTTATCTTAAAGAATACAATGCAACAAAATGAATAAAATCAAAACTTATCCGTTCGATCATAACTTAATGTATGCAGTTAGTTACAAATACTTACACTGAAAGTTCTATCGTTGAACCGCCAGTATGAGCCGCCCTTAAAGAAGTACGTGTAACCATTAGTGTACTGTAAAGCTGCGTCTATACTGTCTGGGATGCCTTCCCAGTTGGAAAGGGGCTTAGGGTAGGTGGACTTGACGGGAGGGCGCTGTGACGGGTCGAATCGCCAGAACTTCGCGCCCTTGTAGAAGTAGATCTTGCCATTGCCCGACCATACTAACGCTGCGTCGATGTTATCTGGTATACCAGTAAACCCTGAAAAAATAAAAATGACACATTACACATTGTTCTTTACGTTGCATCTTTAAATTAATTCTAATTTTAATACACGGTCTTACCTTCACTAATTTCCTTAGGATAGTCTCCGTCGATATTTTGTCCATTGTACCTCCAGTATTTAGAGCCTTTGAAGAAGTATGTTTTGCCGTTCTTGTAGGTGAAGGCAGCGTCAATGTTGGCAGGCAGGCCGGGCCAGGCGCGAGAGATAAGTCGAGGGTAACCCGCCGATACGCCGCTCTCTGTCAATCTCCAGTAGTACTCGCCTATACAATACAAGTATTATAAGTAAATCAACGCCATCTACATCAAAGTGCTCCCAATAGGGGACCAAGAATTAGACCCTTCTTATTCTCTTGAAGAGATTAACGATGAATCAATCAGTATGGCCGTTATTCTATTCTGCAATACATCTGTAAATTTGCCACTCAAGTTGCAAAACTGTTGTAACATACCCTTGAAAACAAATGTGGCACCATCGGCTGAGTTGAATATGGTGTCGAAGGATGAGTCGGCGCAGAGCGCGGCGTCTTCGGTGGACGAGGGTGGTGTGGTGGCGCGGGGGGCGGTCGGCCGCGCGGGGTAGCTGCCGCCGATGTCCAGTTGCGTCTTGTGCCCATACAGTGCCTAACAAACACGCACATGATTAAGTATTTCTCAAAAATTTACATTGACTAGTTAATAATGCAATGAACAAATTATGAAAGATATATTTAGCCACAAAATGGGATTGTTTTGGAGGCAGATGTCCTGAATATAATTATCAAAAATGGGATACTGTAAATACCTGTATTCCTTGGATGTCATCCTGATCGAGTTGGAAGGCAGGGTCGTATCCGCGGTAGAAGGGCGCCATCAGAGCGGAGCGGACGTCGCTGTGAGACAAGCCCAAAGAGTGACCGAACTCGTGCGCTGCAACCTTCATATTAAAGTTTTTATTATTTATATATTGCTATTGCGTTTTCATTAAATAAAATATTGAAATATTTCTTCTTAGACTAGTATAAAAGTAATCAACTGCAAGTTAAATTATGCTATAATGTTTTTAAATTCATATACACAAATACAAAAGCACAAAAGGACTGAATCCTGATGAATCAATTAATTTACGTACTTGGAAGAGATTGGTTCCCCGCCTCGAGTTAATTGACCAAACCTCAGCATCGTCGAAGTGAGCGTCGCCTCCGTAAACCTGATCAAAATGAAATTTTAATTAAAAATACATAAGCCGTGCCCTTTGTCGTTTAAGGAAAGTCAATTAGGACGAATTAAACCAATTATTTTATATGACGTTAGTTATTAGCAATACTGATTTACAATTGGATAATTTCTTGCCCTTCTTCCTAGTACGGGTCGCCACGGTTCTACTTTCCCTTACATCTCTATCAAACGTCATGATTTTACTCATAATAATTAGATTTGACAAACATAAAAGAAGCGTTGCAAAATATTATATTAAATACAAATTTTAACATAAATCTTTAACATTTTTTTTTTCAAAACGTACTTTGATGAAGTATAAAATCATTTAGGACAGATACACGTACAATTTTTTTCAATGTAATCACACAATAATAGATTTTCTTTTAAGCATGTTAAATACAAATGCAAGCATTCATTTTGTAATACAAAAGGCAATAGAGCGACCGTAACCCGTAGCTCTTTATTTTCGACACATCACTCACCACCCGTTTTCCATCTCGTAGCAGACTGCCCGCATTCTACCGTAAAAAATCGTTTACAGTACAAAATTATATCACAAATTACACCGACAAGGTATAACAACATAAATAACAAAACACCACTTTCACATTCACGGTGACAATTTGTTATTTCCGCCGATTAACAATATAATAGTAGATTAAAATATTTCCTATAAAACTTCATTTAAAACTCTACCTACACGCTAAATAAATATTATTTGACGTACTGGAAATTTAATTAAGAAAAAGGTACCTCGACAAATGTTATGTTTTAAGAGCAATTAGTACACTCAGCTACATAAATACATAGTTTACAATATTTCAGAAAGTTGTATATGCTTTTGGTTTTAAAAATATGTATGAACGTATCCCTCTCTATGCTTCTGACGATCGATATAAGTTACTGATGAATACCCGCATACGTATTTTTAATGCCGAAAGCCTGCACAAGTTTTATGCAGCTGACTGTACAGTTGTTAGACAAAATAGCACTTACAGGGAAATACGCGTGAGCCAAAGTACCACCAGGTCCATCGAATGGGTCACCATCTCCATGCTCTCCTTTCTCGAATCTGTAAATAAATAATTAATAATTAATAATAAATAACTTTCCCTTTATTATTAATAAACTTGATGTTATTAAACGAAAGTAGCTTTGATTTGGTACCTAAACCACTAGAACTGAATTAAATTAAGAAATGTAATTTCAATTTAAAAAGCTGCGGTTTACGTTCTATTGAATAAAATTATTTCCTTATTACAATACAAGTAACAAGTAAAGAAAGTAACACATTATCGATTTATGTTCTATAAATTTAAATATTACATAATAATACCACAAACGTGGTAACAAAAGACAGACAATTTAATGTATAGGTGGACAAAAATGAATAACAGATGTTATCTGACGCCATAAAGTCAAGTACTCGAGTACTAATGATCCCGAGTGCTGTCGAATGAATTATCATTACGTGACATTCTGACAGAACATTACATTGATAAGAAACTGTTGATGTCTATTTATCCAGACATAGTTTGTAAGGATGTCGAAGGAAACTCTATAACATCGTAAAAATAATTCATGATTGTAGGTCCAGTAGTTTGAATACCAAGAAACATCGAAAGATACTAAATTAAATTTGCACGAAAAATTATGTTCGTCATCTTTTTTAAACTATATCACGATATAATCTTTTTTATATATTGTATTACGTTGCCTCGTCATAGTATACACAAAAAACGTTTTAGCTTTTTGTTCGTATAAAAATATACATCAAAAAATTCAGATAAGAGCAAATAAAATGGAATTTAAAATGTTGTTTATCGACACCTTCATAATGTAATGCTCTAAAAATCAAATTTATAGACGGATCTTATGATTCTTGGAGCTCATAAACATACCGATGTTTTTTTGTTTAATCAGAAACATTTTTTAATTTTTTTTTGTATTTTTTTAATTCTACTGGATTTGCAAAAATTATAGATTATAATATCCTTTTATGATTCCAATATTATGCAAGTCATATATGATGCGAAAGGCTGTTTAAAACTCTTCACTAAACGAAGACGTCTTGACATTTGAAGCTATTTCCTTTACTACTACTAAGTTAAAAAGAATATTCACAACCAATTTATAAGTTTATAATCATAAATATCCGTGTGATGAATGTTTACAATGTCATAAAACAAAATTCGTACCTAATTGTGTCCAACATAATTGATTTAAAAATGGAAACGTTTTGTGGATGCAACACTGAACAGCCTCGGCGCTCAATGACGACTATTATTGTACGGTTACGCAACACAGATTACCATTGTAACGACATAGAGTTGTTACATCAATCTTTTTTGTACATTTATAACGAAAAATTGCATACTCAAATTGTGTAACATATCGAAATTGCTCTATCGATTCGCAGTAACACTTTAATTCTACCAATAAGCCTTGCTCACTCAACAAATTAAAGAAATCGAAAAAGAAGTAATAATAGAGCTTATATTCCAAGCATCAATCTCACAAAATATTAATGTTATAACTACGAAATTAAAAAAAAAACGCTTAGCATTAGCATATTTGTAGATACTGATAAACAAATTACTTTGGACACTATCCACACACACACACACACAAAGGTCCCGATTTATCTTTTATTTTTCCATAGCTTGATGCCGTCAACACAGTAATGTTATACATACCTTATTTCGATGTGCACTTGTCCGGTACGCTTTTGTGTGAACGTGAGGTCGGTGTAGTCAGACCATACGGAAAACGCTTTGGCCAACTCAGCGTCAACTTCAGCCTGGTTCAATCGCGATGGATACTTTGAGATCTTGTACGTAAGGTTCTTTACACGCCATCTCGAGCCTGAGAAGGAAAGAAGAATACAGAACATCTGTACATAAGGAAGGAACTTCTTAATTCGACTTTGCTTTTTTTCTTGTTTAACATTTTTGCGAGTTCAAACTATATTTTATCACGTGGTTATATATAAATAAATATGTACATATATAAATATAAATGTTCTTAGTTGTACAAAGTAGATCTTTGTTTGATTATTTGTTTGGTCTGATATTTTTATCAGTTCAGTGTACTGAGTATACCAGCTGTCGTCTTGGGTCGTTTAAGAGGTTACGATTAATTGATATAAAATGCAGACGGCGTTGATTCGCGTAATATACATATCTTAAATTTACAAGTATAATATCTTATGCAATTCCTTATCCGTTCTTATGCTCTCCGCACGTGACTGCGGGTTCACGAATAACTGCAGTTTTATTTGTCACATGACCTGATTGACTTTTGCCCGGATTAATTACAATAATTTTAATGTAGTCTAATACAAAATATGTTACTAAATACTTAAAGTAGTGGCTTAATTGAATAATGTTTGATATGTAAACTGAGATCCTTATCCAGGTTGAACCTTTTTTTTCTCTCATTTATTCTAGTATCTAGCCTTTGTCTTACCTTGCAACGCGTATCTTTTCGCTCGACTCTCGCCAAATCCAACTTTGTCCTTTACACCACATCTCGGCAGCGACATTACTTTTGCTGTTTCATCGTCCAGTTCACCTGTAACATAACCATATGATTTCGATTCAGTTGTTAGATTACATCTTTTTTTATTTCTCTACGTGTGGGGAATCACAGATCACTTATCACAATTTCTTGATCTTTAAAGCGTATAAAGCAAATATAATTAAACTTTGTTTATACTGGAATGATAAATCGTCATGCAATCATATAATTGTCGCCTAGGAAATAATTATACAAACAAATTCAGTTCGCGGAAAACTTAATCCGAATCAGAATTGAACGTACATAAAGTTAATTCGAATTATTTAAAATTCAATTACATATGATAGATACACTTCAAGAATTAATTATATATCACATAAGTTAAATAGTAGAATGAACTATTTAAACAAAATAAGCACGTACACACAATGTATTCGGCTAATGGAAAAATACAAGAAATTTTTCCTGTTTCATATCATTTGTTAGATGCTGCCGCATACGTTGACTTTATAGAGAATAAATTCCCATAAAACCTTCATAGTATGATGACTCACGGCACATACATGCTATCTAATTTTCTATTCATACAATAAGACATGTTAGTTTTAAACTCCTTAAAACAGCGTGCGCCGCATCCCAACATGAATTATGTATACGTGTCCCATAATACTTCGTTACTTGCTTACATAATAGTGTCTTTCTGAGGGTCTAGTGACATTAGAGCAAAACACGATTTCTCATAAGACGCTGTTCACAACACAATTTTAAAAGGGACGATGTAAAGCTCGCGCCCTCCTCCAGTGACTCCTTGCTTTAGCCCATCTGGCACTGCTAAGACTTGCTGTGTAGTTCACGCTTCACCATAATGATTGAATCTTATAATACAGTAACTGCTTACGATACAGAGGCACGTATGAATGCGAATTTTAAATATCTACCCACATAATGGTATTTAAATAGCAGGCCGTAGTTCATGGTACTTCAAGTGCGGGCTCGTGATTGTATTGGCTTTGTTATCAATGGCAGACATCGCAGTGATTTTTTACTTTGCGTTCAGATAGTGCATTAACTTTTTATCGAAATCAATTTTAAATAAAAGCTTTTATAATAGAACTCGACGCTTGATAAAAAAAAATGATCTTTTTTAATGATATGCCAAAAATGTTGTGTACATCCTCAAAAATACGTATCAGGTAAACCGCTAAAACGGTACATTTTATGACATTTTAAACGAGGATTTTGTGCAAAAAATATTATTAATAGTATCAAAGTTGTAAGCTCACGTGTATGGTCTCGTGTCGTATATAAGGAGGTCAAGACGTCTCCGATGTGGGTTACTTATTACATCTATTACGGCAACTGTATAATTTAATACGCACATAGTCACGATGTATATAAATACATAGAAATTAACATCACGAGATTGCCATATGGTGATATTAAATATAATTTTACATTGACACTTTTTGCATTATCTAAATTGACGTTCAAGTAAAGGTGAGGTTTAAAAAAAACATCGTATTTTGAGAACATGATCGTACCTACTCATAATAAAAAAAATTTGCCTGTCTGCATTATCTGCGAGTAATTTCCGAAACGGCCGGACCGATTTTGATGGAACTTTTACTGGAAAGTATCTGATGTGTGCGGAAGTAATTTAAGCTATTATTTTTAATTCCAAGCTGACAAAGTAGCGGACGATCGCTAGTATGATAAAATTGTTCAAACCTGTTGCATTGAGTCCGGCAAAGCTTTGAAACTCGGCGATGGCGCGTCGCCACGAGCTCTCGTCCATGATGTGGCCGCTGGAAGGATTCCGGACCGAAGGGCTAAGGTAACCATACTGCGCTAAATACATCTGAAATAAAAACATATGTATAAATATATTGTGTTTCCTTATTAAAAAAAAATAGTTAAGTGAAAACCCAAGGGTATATTTTGCATACAATAATTAAAATCATTTTTTACTACTTGTACATAAATGTTAACAAAATTATGTTTACTATTATCTTTATGTACAGAACTATTATAGATACATAAATATGTAAATTCAAACTCAATCGAAATGAGAAACTAATTTAAAGAAATTTACCTTCATAAGACCGTAACTACAGACTTATAAAAAAACAAACATGTTTGTATCACCAATTTGAATACAAAAGCTATCCAAAATACATCCATAGAAAATAAATGACAAAATCAGCCAGTAACATGTGCAAATATAATTTCTCATTTCCATTGAATTGGACTATAAAATCAATACTAAATACCAAATTTAATTTGTACTTATAATTTGACTTGAGTTCTAAATCTAATTAACACCAACACCATACACTTAGAAGATATGTAATACTAAATTTAAAAACGGGTTATATACATTTTAGAGTGCTAATATTAAGAAGTAATATATCTAAACATTGGACCTAAGTCCTACATATAACTATTATATAACTTACATATATGCTATACGTGATAGAGTCTGAGATAAATATAATAAAACTTTTGGAACCAGTATTCACTTTGAAGTAACACTACAATAACATAGTATAAATCTATATTTATGTGAAGTGGATGGAGATAAAAATTATGAGTAATTTTGTCTGTTGTGAAAGTATTATCGCTCTCAAATCCAGTAAAACGTATTTTTGTATCTTTACAACATCTTAAGATTTTTTACAATCTTTTTTTTTTATTTTTAAACTTCTCCAACAAACTTTTATGTGTTCGTATTAAAGTGATAAGTGTCTATTATTGTTGGAAGAAACTGATTATTATTTTTTCTTCTATTGTTCTCGTTGACAGATTGCATATATTATATTTACATTTTTTTTCTTTACTGTGTTCGACGATACACTTATAATAAACTCAACATTGTCTACAAGGTACTAGACAAAAATAGGTAAAATTGTTCTTAATTGTATAGTTTTTTTCATAGTTGAGAAATATGTCTGTGGCGTTGTATCTGGCAGGCGAGACTCGACTCTACATGACAGATATCTGTTCTTTTTTTTTGAAAAATTCAGCGAACTTAATTTTAAATCACTATATTGCTCAAATAAGTTTTCTTTTTTTTATCTAAATTGTGATTTGTTGATCTTTATTGTATTTAAGTATTATCACACAAGAGTCAAGGTCACCCCCCATTGTTTATTGTCTGCGATATGGATAAGAATAAAACAAAAATTAAATTAAGCGCTTAAATGATATAAACATGATTATTCAGAATACCATGTGTAATTTAAAATATTACGTGAACGTTTAAACTACTTTATCTATTGTTTTTTTAATTAAAAAGTTATAAACTAAATACATGCGTTTTTTACCTTAAACCTTAAAACTTCGTGTAAATAATTATGTGCATGTATATACAGTTATCTTGCATTACAATAAGTTCTTACGATATTCTTGGATCCCCACGGGTGATTGTCCAGATATCGATATGACTAGAAGATAAAGAAACACATTTACAAACCAATCAATATATGTTTAAGTAGTTAAGTGAAGTTATATACTAAAAAAAGCTTAATTACAATGTATAGTTATAAATAATAAATTCCGTAAGAAATTCTAAAAAAAATACATAAAATAAGTAACGAATCTATAGTAATTCATTATCATCACACTATTAGAGTATAATAAACACAACTATATAATAAAACTAAACTATAAATTAACCAAAAAAATGTATTATTTTTGGCACAATGTGTTTTAACGCGCCTCAAGTTATGAAGCATATAAGTTATGTAGATAAAAAATCATGGGCAAGGAACTTTACAGATTGGAGTTGAAGAGACCGAGATACAGCTGACCTTGGCGACAGTCGGCGACGCCTGTCGCGTGACCTGCATCACAATGTGCCGACACATGTGTCGCCCTGGTACCACCGACGACACTCCGTCACTCATTCTTTGTTACCTCTTGCTTCGGGGAACACGGCATCGTCTACCGACGCAGTCAATACCCCCGAAAGAACGCCGCTATTGTTTTGTTCTATGGTAACGTATGAAAATGTCTACGGATTTATTACGTCTCCTTAAATATGCACACCTGCGGTTACAATCATCGTCGAATCTCGGATCAAGTTGATAGCAAAGGTTTATTTAATATCTTTTTATCCTTTAACATTTTCAAATAGTATTGTATTTCAAAGTTGATCAGGAACGTTTTAACAGAAAAACTAACGATTACAAGCAGATAGTAAGCGTCGAAGGATCTTACATTATAAATGACTAACTACAGACACTAACTTAGTTTTTGGGCGCGCTTGTAGCGAGTCGCGTTCGTTGACATCCGCAGTATTGTTTGACGTTTACACAAACATTATTTGCACATAGAGTATCACAATTTCATAATGATATATCAGATGCTCAAGGTAATTACGATAAAAATGTAAGAACAGAACGGTTTATTGTTATAAATTAAACATACCGGAACACAAGGAAATCAGAAATGATAACCATCATAACTTTTTGTTTTGCTTTCAAGTAAGTATTTCAAACATTGAAAAAATTTAACCTCTTAATTTTAACATAAAACATATGCACATGTGTTGTTTTTAAAAGAAAAAGTTCGTGTCTGACAACAAAATTAAAAAAAGTCGGTACAGACGTGGAATGTTTTTGCCAATTAGCGGCGTATGGTCGAAAATTTAAAAGCGCCATGGCAATTGGTATGGGCGTATCGAGGTCAGTGTGCCTCCATGAATAACGGTTGGAAGCTGGGCTTACGACCGATCGGGAGAACGCGGACCAGTGAACCCACGACCCACATTACATTCCGAAAACGTAATGACGCATAAAGTTTAATATATCTTAATAATTCCTTTTATTATTCTCTTAATAATCCAAATTCAATATAATGTGTGTTTATTCCGATTTTTACCAATCTAATTCTATATTCTCTTTGACATTTTTAGTACATATAATTTTTAAGTCTGTGAGTCAATATCTTAACACACATAATTAGTAAGAATTTTTTACATTTACATTTCATAGAAAAACTTCTAAATTAATGCATTTGTCGTCGACAAACTCGCGGCAATAGAGTTAAAGTAAAAAGTTTCTCTTAAATATAGTAAGAAGGATATATTTTTTCTATTGACTAGTAAAATTTTCCTTTCCAGACTAAAAAATAACCTTAAATGAAAAGAAAAAGTTTTTATATTGCAGTGAAATAACAATTATTACAAACAATAAATCAATTCATAATCAATCGAAGTCACGTCAAAATGTCGCCATCAATAAGAGAGGAGACGTTTCATGTTCCATTATTCATTCGCGTTAACTACAATAAAAATAAAATAGTGTTGATGTACTCGTAGGTAACACTCACTTCCGGCCGGGCCTTTGTTTGTTGTGTGAAGTGTTTGAATCATACTGTTAGGATACGCATGCATCGCCACACAAACTACAAATATGCCTTTAAAGGAAACTTTTAATAATAAAATATTGACTCTAGATAAATAAAAGGCATTTAAAAATATGAGCAGGCGAGGAATCAACGAGGATAGTGGTTTTAACTAGTAGTCTGTACACTCTGATTTTTGTTAATCATTTTTCCCCTTACAATTCATATTTGAGTTTTATAAGTAATACTAGCGATCGCCCGCGAATCCGTCCACGCGGTATTAAAAATAAACTTTTATAGTAGCCTACGTGTTTTTTCAGACTATGTTCCATATCTGTTCCAAATTTAATAGAGATCTGTTTCACTGTTCTGGAGATAGCAAGAAAGATCAAACAAACCTCCATCTATCCACCTTAATATTCGCATTTATAATATAAGTAGGATTTGATGTACAAAAGTCGAAATTAAAAATGTTTTATTGCTTCGTGCATGTACAATGAATTTTTAGATGTAACTATAAAATATATCTGATGAAACAACATTGCAACTTGATAAATCTATAGTCAAAAGTTTGCACTTGCTACATGCGGGCAGTATATAACAAAACCATAGCTATTGAAAACATTATGTATAGTTACCATCATGTACAATACATAGTTGCCTAGCATGGGCTGCGTGATCGTAATAATTTGTCAAGCTATTGTCATGTGTTTGATAACATCATAAAATATTTTTTGTTATCAAATTGAACCAATATTCATAAAAATTATATAAGTATCAGCTTTTATTTCTCTACATAAGATCAGGTTTGGTTAAACATAGTATTGAAGCCCTATTGAATTTGGTTATTTCTTTATGCGTTTTTTGCTTAAAACTCTTATAATGGATCAAATAATTCATACATTATTTTAGACTTGATTTGTTAGAATCTTTATGTGCGAATTTCGTTACAAAGTCAAATGTCAGAATTATTAGTGAGGGGACATAAACGTCGACATTTAAAAGCTAGTGTTGGGCCAGTACACCGGCACAGTGTCGGATTTTCTTCCTAACAATTGTTTCTAAGAAGCTAGAGGAAGTAATACTGATATGCCATACTATGAATAAGGAGATAAACATAAACATTTATATGCAAACGTGTAGTTTATTTAAAAATTAACAATCTGAACAAAACAATCACAATATCGTCGCCGAGAGGATGAATTCGACGGGGAATTACTTGCGAAGTCGGAAAATACAAACATAAAAAAATGCTTAACGTGTAAACAAAATGAAAACATTTACTGCGGTAAAGAATTTTAAAATAAATACAGTAAGCTTCATAGTTTTTAAAGTTTTACAGTTTACATTTTGTTGGTGAAACGAATATGTTTTTACTGATTCATTCATGGTTTCTTATGCCTTAAATCTTGACTGATTTTAAGAAGAAATGAAAAACCTATTAAATTCAATTGCAATTCTTACATTGTCTGGGACAATTTTAAACGAGTTTATATTTTTTAGTAAAAAAAA